TTTCTGGGGAACTTTTATGCATGTTGTTGTGTTTCTAAGAAAGTGACATTTTTCATTACAAGTATATGCAATGCTTGCCTGTCTGCATTTTAAATTTCATTTGACAGATATATTGAGTTAAGGAATGTTTGGATTTCTTGCTGTTATTTCATAGGTTCTTTTTTTTTTTTTTTTGGATTAATTTTTTTCAGGGTTTCGGAGGTGGGACAGGGAAGTCAAAAAATCTTATAGATTTTGGAAGCTTGACTTCATTACATATCTGTATTTGAAAGTCATGGTATTCAATTATATATTCAATCTTGCTAAATAATACTTTAAGTTTTTGAGCTCTATTTCATTTTTACTGCCTACACATACACCTGTGAATGGATTCCTCCCTCACTGAACAAAGGCATACATCAGTGAGTCACTCCTGATCCGTCAATGGATATCACAAAGTTTGTAAGATATATCTCTGTTTGTATTTGTGGACGCAAACCAAAGTAAATACAATAATATGTAATATGAGAATAAAATCGACTGTTATGGCCCGAAACCAATGTTTGTGTCTGTGGTTTGACTCCAACCCACTTCATTCAAAAGAACCCTTAGATCTGGTGGTCAAGAAATAGCCGCTGTGTAGCTATCAGAGAGAGAGAGAGAGGAAGAAAGAGACTGGTTGATAAATTGCTACTAGTTTGGAGAAGATTGTGGTTTCTTAGTGTGACCAGAGGTTGTCTTTTCTCTGCGTAGAACCATTAATGTGGTAGCAAATCAAATTGATTCACTGCTTACCTACCAAGAAGCTACCAGGGATATCACTTTTGCGGTCGGGGAATAGCTGGAAGACTCAACCAAACCCAAACTTTGTGGAAGGACCAGATAAATGTTAACTCGCAGGTTGCCAAGTTTTGATAGGCATGCCTTTGTTTATTATGACATTTCAACTCAATAATGCATATTATTCTTCCCCTGTGTGAATGAAGAGTCTACCGAGGAGTTGAAAACCTCACAAAAATGATTTGGCATTGATGCAAAGTTTTAAGAACTAATAAAATATGTAAGTCCTGCTCCACAAGAAAATCTTTGTAGTCTCCTGGAAAGCCAGCCAAAGCCCCCCTCCCCCCACACATTTCTTGGTATTTCATCAGAGTTTGTGTTGAGAAGTGCTGAAATGATAATCAAATGAATAATCCATGAATTTAAGTCATCAATCAAAATGATCTCCTTTTGAGGGAATTTATATCTTCCCTAATCAAGGATATATGCATCTGTAAGGTGTAGAAAACAGAAGTGCTATTCTTTCCAGATTGTTCTGTATTTAATCCTCTTTGCATGTGTGTGTTTTCCTTTGATCTTACATTCTCTTTACCCCTTTTTACTTATAACATCAACCTTCTCTGCCCCTGGTGTTCATCTGAAACTTTTCCTCCCCCGAAAGGACTACATTTGTACCACAAAATCATTTTTTCTTCCCTTGCTGATGAAAATTGCAACAACTAGCATTTCAGACACATCTTTAACTCCTGACCTATGAGTGATCAAACCTTTTGATCTGCATGTGTCTCATGTCAGCTATCAGTAGTCATTATGGAGACATCTTAACTCAATAATCATCATCGCTTAAAATCATGCTGCTCTCATTCTCTCACTCTTAAAGAGAAAGCCCATCAATGTTTAAAAGATCAAAATCAAAACTTCATCTTGAATATAAAGACAAACCTTTTATTTAGGAGTATGGTTATGCTGTATTAAAAGAAAAAGGACCTCATTAACAAGATAGATGTACATTTGTAGTTATAGTTTCATCAATCAAATATCTCAACAGATCCTCTGCAGAAAACAGTGCAGTAATTACACTGAAGCAGGGAGCAATTGAGTCTGAGAAGTTTTGAAAGTTAAAAATGGTTCCAGAAGAGAGAATAGGATGTACCCCTCAAAGAAGTCAACCTTTATTGGCATAGGAAAATCTTCAAAGAGCTACAAGAAATCCCAGATTGGTCTTATAATGGTATACTTCATATCTTAAGTGTTGGGTATGTCTTTAACATTGCCTAGCAGGAATCGTCCTGTCTCCCATGTCAGCACTTGTACTCCAAATACATGTATGATATCCCCTGGGATGAGTAAATTCAAATCATATGAAGATCATCACAAATGTTTCAGGAGATCCGATTCACTGATGACTCAGATCTAAACCTGACAGCAGAAGGAATACATGGATTTACTTTCTATAATGCCAGAATAAATTAAGGAATTCGAATTGAGACAGAGAGAATGTGATATGCCTGTTTGGTGTGTTTCAGTGTAACATCAGTAATTTTTAACAAAAAGGGCACACATGCTCTATGCACCCATCTCAGCAATGTCACTGATATATCATCACTTTCTGTAGAACCGGAAAACTGTATTGAATTGTCAAGGACAACCTTTTTCATTGCAAGAGACTTTCACAAAGTTCCAAAAAAGTTAACTTTGGTCATCTCTCTAACCATTTTGCGGTTCAACCTTTTGCGACCTACTTCAAAATTCACAAAAGTTGATGCAGTCATATGTTTCTGGTTCTACAGTCCATGGTAATCTGTTGTTGTGTTGATTGTGTTTCTCATGTATTGTAATAGTGGATAAGCATGAAGCACAGGCTGTAGTGAAGCAATCATTTTATGATACATCATACACCATCATGATGAAGTAGTTTTCATATATCCATCCTAAGTCTTGCGATATTCTTCCGTACCCCTCAATTTGCTCTACATCAGACCCCCAGCTGGCTGCAATCATGTAAACCTTTTCCCCTGAAAATACCATATTAATAGCATCTGGAAATCCAAAGTTTTGTCTATGACTGAGAGATCACAGTGTGATGCTGTCAATGATGATTGAGAAAGACAGGAAAGCTATCCTCCACATCATCAAGATGGATGCTTAGAAATCAATTTACCGAGAGGAAATGTTCTTTGGTGACTGACTCCCCTTATCTCATCTCTATCTTTATGACTTATTCCTGCGAAGGCTCCCCAAGAGCAATCTATAAAATTTATTCGGTCTCTTTTTCAGAGCTTTTTGCAAAGGAATTCTCGTTGTCTTCTCCGTGTTCCAGTAACCTAGTTTTTGGATTCCCCCTTCATGACACCATGTTCTAATTCTAAACCATGGTGGTTGTAACAACATGATCCTCTGTCCACCCCTGTCTGGGGACTAAGGAAGATGTTTCTTTTTTTATTGCTTCCTTCCCGGTCTGGCGATTTGATGGATCAGATATCTTAATACTATAGTATCCTTTGATTGCTTCGTCAGGATTAGTGCGCTCTCCCTAGAGGGGGCTATGCAAGGCACTCTTGTCTCATAACCAATTAGCAGACATGATAACGACATGATGATGATGACATGATTAAGTCATGATGATGAACTTTGCATGATCTGTTGGGGATCGTTTGAGAAAACCAAAGTAGATGAGTAGAAGTAACATGTTCGTACCATGGTCTCGTTTCTTAGGGGGGAGGGGGAGGGGGGAGGGGGGGGGGGGGAAGAGGGGATTCTTGAATTTGTCAGAAAAACTTGTTTTTTAGACTTGTTAGACATGACTTATCCATGACAGAATACTGATTTCCACCCTGAGGATATGTTCTTCTCATGTTCATTGACTCTAGAGTGTACTTGATCCTGCGCTTTCACATGACGTTGATGTATGATGGTTTTGGGGGGCTTCCTGACTCATGTTTTCATCCACATTCTTGGACTACCGCTGAAGCAGACTGAAAAGGGATTTTTGAAATCAGGAACTGTAAATCTATTGTTCTGATTGGTAAATCCCTATGGGGATTCAAGATTAAGGTATTAATCCTTTAAAAGGGGAATATTTTGGTGTGTCACCATCTTACAGTATGAAGCGGATTAGGGTTGAAAACAAGTTTCCATCATACTTGTAGTTTGATCTTGTGAAACTTTCTAGAAATACATTAGAACATTGGAAGATGCTATTGAGAAAATTGATTAGAACATGTTGATGGTGGTCTCTGGGGGCTTCCAGAGTTACATTTTCTTCCATAGAATCTACAAGCTAGGTGCGTTGCAGTATAATTAACTGTAACAAAAGCTTTTTGTATGAGAAAGCTTGTAATCTGTATTACTATCTGTTTTGCTTCATGTGACATTGACAAATGGTGATTTGTAAGTGGCTTCCTGGAAATAGACTCGGGGGACAAAATCTATACCTGCATTAAAATTGGAAAATTATGAAGAAGATGAAATATGGTGGCCTTTTGTAGGCTGTGAAGTACAAAGGAGGGAGTGGATGACAGCATTAATCAATCATGTTTTGATAACTAGAATTTTTAAAGAGATAAATGAAAGTTGGACATAATGTGGTTTTAATATTGAATGAGGAATACGGTATCATTCAGTATACTTCACCATCGCAAAGATGTTCAAGGATCAATCAAAGGGCAGTTTCAATTCCCCATTTTATTGCCTACTGGTATGTAAATCATGTTTCGATTATTCAATATGTCAATGTCGTGTTTGTACATTTCAATGGCCGACACACAGTGCTATTGAAAATTTGAAATTGCTTTTGGTTGATTCAAACAAAACAATCTTTATGCTCATGTTATCCTGTCATTTTCAAAGGTTGCATATCATCCACTTTGGCTGCTATAGTTGTCACTTAAAGTGAGTTTATGAAACTTTTTGTTGGTGTAAAAACTGCTTCAAAGCTTGAAAAAAAGGTTCATGATTTTTCAAAATGAAGAACTTTTAAAAAAATAAAAAGTGGCTTTCTGTTCCCAAATTTTTTCCTTGTATTGAGCAAATGCATAAGACATGATGAAAGACTGTCTGTATCATTCTCTAATTGACTGATTTTGATGACATTGATTAATCTGTTGACCACTGAGTTCTCTCATTCCCATAGACTTAATACAGGAACCAACCAGCTCCTGCAGGCAATGGGTTAAGTTTTATTATATTTATTCAAAAATAAACATCATTGAATCGGTCATTTATTTTTGTTTTCTTCCCAGGTCTAGCTGAGCTAGGAACAGTGTGTGACCCACTAAGGAGCTGCTCTATTGTAGAAGACAACGGTCTAAGTGCTGCTTTCACTATGGCTCATGAACTAGGACATGTGTAAGTACTCAGCCCCCCCCCCCCACCAACAAATGATAATGATAATAAGTAATATTTGATTCTTGTACCGGTAATCCATTTTAATGCATGTATTAGCCATACACTGGTACTCAAGGCACTCCAGAATGAGTTCAATATTACAAGCTTGAGTCAGGCAACCATTCCTCCGGCTTCTGTAGGGTACATCTTCTGCCAGGCACATGACATTCACTTCCAGGGGTTGGTACCTTCTGCCAGGCACATGACATTCACTTCCAGGGGTTGGTACCTTCTGCCAGGCACATGACATTCACTTCCAGGGGTTGGTACCTTCTGCCAGGCACATGACATTCACTTCCAGGGGTTGGTACCTGTAGCCAGGCATATAACACTCACTTCCAGGGGTTGGTACCTTCTGCCAGGCACATAACATTCACTTCCAGGGGTTGGTACCTTCTGCCAGGCACATAACATTCACTTCCAGGGGTTGGTACCTTCTGCCAGGCACATAACATTCACTTCCAGGGGTTGGTACCTGTAGCAGACTATTTCATTTGAGTATCATAGGTGATGATAGTGTCTCCAGAGAATCAGAAGGGCATTAGTTCACATCATCGCCATTCTGGCTCTCAACAAATGATATTTGAATGATAATGATGTAGGTTGTATATAGAAATAAGTTGTTGCTACTTGCTACACAAGGAAGCCTCATGCAAGCCTTGCATTCATTTCCATATAACTGGATTATGTTATATATTTGTATTTATCAATGATACTTATCTGTGATACTGTTCAAAAGAGTTTAAAAGAGTGGTCAGAATTCATTGGTTTAAATGTACAATGCCTGTCAGGAAATTAATGTACTCTGCACTTGATCAACCTTGATCTTTTATTGTAACAGCTGTTTTCAGGAAGTTTATCAGTTATTAATCACTATGCAATATGTTACAGTATGTTTGTATATATCAACATATAACTGATTACGTTGCTTTTTTTTCCTTCAACAAAAAAATAGGATGAAAATTAATGTTCTTGTAAAATGTATTTGTGAAAGTTTGGTTTTAGGTGAGGGGTCATTGGATATATGTTGTAATGATACAAGTCAGCTGAAAGAATTTGAAAGAATGTTTTGATCTGTGTTGAGGAATTTAGAAAGTAAAACTGTCACCCAAAAAAGGATCTTTTTGACCATGATAGCTCTTGATGCATTTTACAACTCTGTAAACTCCCAACAGTTATTTTTGCTCATATTTCAAGCTTGATCTCATAACCTGCCTTTGTGTTTGCTGTTTGAAATATTGACCTTTTGTTAAATCTCCCATACCTGACAAAGCTAGCATTCTATTCCCCTGACTTCATATTAATGTCAACCCATTTATCATAATCACTTTCGTGGCAGCGAGTCAGCTTGTGAAAATCAAGACCAATTTCTGTCATAAAGAAAATATGGATACTCTTTTAAAAGTCGGTCAGCAGGAGGGTTAAAATGCTTTGAGGCACTTTTTTAACAACTCTCGTTGTTTGGATGTTAGTGCTATTGTAGCTGGGTTCCTATGACCTATTGATCAGGGATTTGCAAGGGGATCATCAAGTTTAGTTCTCCTAATCCTTTTCCATCATTCAACTGACCCACATGGACTTTTTTTCTCTCTGCCTGCCTCGCCTCAATCCCAAACCTGCTTGGGGAGAAGTTTCGGTTTTGCCGGCTGCTATGACCATCTCCGACCACCTCTGACCATTGAGTGGACATGCATGGAAGTCCGATATTGAGGCCAACAATTCCCTGTGCTTTCGTTGACTGGCACATGAAGTACTTTTGTGTTTTTGTATTCTCTCAGTTCCACCTGTATTCTATTCATGCTGGCTATTTGCAGGAGGGTAGGCTATCCCAGGAGACGAAGAGTTGGGGTGGGTGACCTACAAAAGATGTGTTTATCAAGGCTAACTGACAGTAACTGACTGCTAAGGAATAGGACAATGGTTTGATGATAGAGGGACAAAGAAGGCTAGAATGATAAGGATGATAAATACAACCCATTCATCTTTCTGCCTGCTTTTAAAGTTATAATAGATCCATTGCTGAAGCTAATTGTCATCTTCATTTGATCGAATTGCCATTCAAATTACAATTAAAATTACATTAGAACGATCATGCTTTGAAGCAAATTGGTTTCATTTATCCCTTAATGCGTAAACATGTTGAGTGATTTCACATTGATAGGTCTCTAAGGATAAAAGTTCTTTGAAAGCAATGAAATCAACAAGGATGTTCTTTTAAATATACTGCTCTTACAAGGTCTTATTTTTTTTATTTTTTAAAAAAAAATTTGCAAAATTGTTTATATGCACTTTTTGAACTTCATGATGTTGAGCTATCAATCAATTTTATTGAGAGGCAGACAGACAATCAGTCTATGAAGGTTTTCCTAGATCTGTCATGGTCATCTTCCTGTAGGATGCACATCTCTAAAAAGAATGGATATTTTGTGTCTCTATCAGTCCATTTGTGTAATTTTGATTGCAATTATGATAGGATCAGATTGATCTTTTACAAAATATCTGTGGATGTACAACTTTCTTTTAACTGTTAGTATTGCTCTCTACCCCCCCCCCCCCCTCTCCCCTCTCTCTCTCTCTCCCCCCTCTCTCTCTCTCTCTCTCTCTCTCTCTCTCTCTTTCTCTCTCTCTTTTTTTTGTCTAGAAAGAGAACATAATAATATGTGTAAAATAAGTATATGGCCCAATTAATTTCCCATCTCAATTTATCACTCAGGATTAGATCTAATATTTACCATACTCTTATTACAGAAAGGATTTTAAAAAAATACTGTATAAATGCTAGTAATGTAGAAATGAAAAATTCACTATTTCATTGAAAAAGCTGAATTTTTGTGACTGAAAAGGAATCAGTCTTGATCATTGTCATTCACAGTTTGTATTGTTGCAAGCTTGTGATCAATGATCTCTAAATAGAATTCATCTATCTATGAAAGCTTGACCAAAAGATGTATGTTGATGTTGGCCCTTCATGACTCTTTCATGAATAAACTCTTTCAAAGATTTCAGCTGTCGTTAATTTGATATAACACATTCTGTTCTTAATTGAAAGGGGTAATACGGAGGTAGGATAGGGGAGGAGTGCTTTGTTAACTGAAATAAAACTACATGTATTGCTAAATATACCCTCGAACTTAGTCACTGAGATGTTATCAAACAATTAAACAACAAATTTCCAGCCAAACAAATGTCAGCTATTTAATTGTTGGGCTTGAAGGTCTATGACAGGTAGTGCTAATAATAGGAAACCACAGACAGGAAGTTATGTCATTCTGATAAAACCATGTCCATAGTTACCACCTACACAAGTGGTCAGGTTCGTGGTGGCTGCATGGCGGCCATCTTGAATCCAGTCTGCCTGTAACCTCTGATCGACCAGTCATCACTCCTGTTTATAGACCATAGTCTGCTATTTTAGACCTTCCTTAAATTAAGTTGTTAGTGAATGACAAGGAAGCTCTGTCTCAAAATTATTCTCTTGGTTTTCGCATGCTACCTATTTTGTTGTAATAAGTTGGAATCAATTAGAAGTGAGAGGGCAGTGTAATGGTCAAGAGGAGACAATCACTACATATTTTTCGTACGGCTATGAAACTGCAAAATCCACAATAAAATACTGAAATAATGCCTACACTGATGAATAGGACCTATTTGTTTCAAGTTTATTTAAAAATTACAGAGGATAAGATTTTTTTTATATTAGCAAAAAGGATGCCAGAAGGACTACTAGATTTGTCCTTTATGTGAATAAATTAATGTCTGTCGAGGTAAACAATCAAAACCCATGGACTTGTACCTTGCTGCTTAGTTGCACTTTTACCTATTTAGTATGGAAACCATATAAAGTGGTAATGCACTTTCTTTGTATCAGGAAATGGAATAATATGTACATCTGTTGTGGTGATAAAGAAGGACATTTTATCCCCTTGGTTGAATTCTGTTTTGACAATCAAAAAGTCAGTTCATGTTCTTTCCTTTCCAAAAGTTCTTGTATTTTGAAGAAGTAAATGTATCAAACTGAAGAAGATGAGGATCTTTGAGAATGGTTTTTGATGTGATATTACATGATTGCTCAAATCATGCTTGCAGGATATGACTATAGGATTAAATATTACGTTTACGGGTTAGAGCAAGACCTATTGTGCTCGTCAAATCTCCATGATGCGATGTATTTTTCTCAAATACTCTGCAGGGCTGGATTATGAGAAGCAAACGATACACATTACATTGCAATGAATCCTGTTTAAACCAGGACCCAACTCTTATTTGGGCATTCTAGTATCCATCCAGGAGCATGATATCGAAGCGCAATTAGGGGAATTTAGATAGTAATTTGTCGGATGCTATTACCCGCAGTCCAAACATACTGAGAGCATTACATTACCTCCGTCCCATTATTTCTGATGAGAGCATCTATCTACCCGCATCCCAACCAACCAACCTCTGCTCGGGTGATAACAGAGTCCTCTTTTATCTGGCCCAGACCTCCAAGTAGTTCAATACCCCGGGATATTTTTGCTCATAATGTGAATCAACATGGCGATGGGATGGTAGGATCTGGAGGAACATGAAGGAGAGAGTAAGATGGGGTTTAGGTTTACAATCCTCCCCTGATCCCAAGTTTTCTTTCCGTTAAGAGTTGCCTGGATGGATGAGAACGATTGTTAATGCCTGGGATTGCGAGTGGAGGAGATGGGATGGAATGGGAAGAAGGATGGTGGCCATTTTGGAGGAGGGAGGGATGATGATAATGAATGAAAGTCTTGTCTATTTTTAGATGCATCCAAAGTGTAACTTCTTATGCCCAAAGAAGTTAATAAAAGATTGCTTCAGCTGTAGAGCTGCAGACTGTATCATCAAAGTTGGACTTTTATTACAGTATTTATCAGCATACATCTCAAGTGATGATGTCAAATCCATGGAACATGATGAGTCTTCTGGTAGTATTCAGTTGAAACTTGAAA